AGTTCAAGACATCCTTCATTCACTGTTCCAACGTTCGACGTAACGATTTTCAGTAACATGGTTCGTTTTTTTGATAAGATAATTTCTTCCTCAGTTAGTGCCATCGTTGCACGAACTGCTTACCTTGTTGATTCCTGACAGCCAACGAGACTTGCTGCTGCGCGTCGCCTATGGAGGACGCCATAACATTCTTTCTAGAACTAAGCTGACTTGTCGTAATTTGCTCTGGTATTGTACTTACGTCCCCACTCTGCCTGTCGACAAGCGGTCTTTCACAGCCGGGCACTGAACCGGCTAAAGTTTTCTGGAGTTGGCAGTGTGCTGACTTAATAGTAGCATGTACTCGCCATGTCAATGTGTAATCATCGGACCTCGTGATATTTTCTAGAGAAAATACTGCCAAAAGTTGGTTCGCGGCATCCCTGTAGGACTACCATCACGCAGTCTGCGAATGCTCATTAGTCGGGTTCTTGTTTACTTCGCAGCTAATCCTCATAGCTGAGGGTTATTCCACTATTCGCAACCCGTGTAAGCACCGCGTGGTATCTGACTTTGTCTCGATACAATTATCGAGCAGATTATCCAACAGTATCTCTATGCATCACATTTCGCGGAGTATAAGGTGCCACCGTTTCCAGAAAAACGTCATCTAAAGTCAATCTGCATCCTATGCGTCAAGGATAAATATTTGCTAGTGGATACGAATAATTTTATTTTACATTTCTCTTTCAAAATCAGAGAGCGGCATTTTATAGGCCAGAAACACTGAATATTCTTGTTTTTACTTTAACTGTCTAAATCCGCCATATCGAAACTACCGCAGAGACCAGGCATCGCTTAGATGAAAAATCAGATGATATGCAACGAAATTAAATGTACATCAATATAATAAGTAAAACTTACTGTTCCTTTTGGATGAGGAAGTCTTCCGACCGCCAGTGCAGGACACACGAAAACTCACTCCACTGCTATCTCCGCGATAAAAACCGCCACCTTTAGCGAACACAGAACTACTCGTTGAGTCCACTATACTGCCGTTCTCGTAAATATTATGCTGTTTGGCGGCAATAACGTTGCTGTCGAACCTGTCCAACTGTGACTCGGAGGTAAGGTTTCCGTTCACGAAGGTCTTGTTGGAGTAAGTCTCGTGATTTGACTCCACTTTCATCGCCCGAAGACTGACGTTGACCGTTTCTTCCCGGCTGTCTGACGCACTGGCGGTGTTTTCATATTTCGATATGGGGCGGTCATCGTGCTTTAATGCCGACATGGTGATCGTGCTTGAATTCAAACCGACAGGGGTGTCGTCCAGTGGTAAATGTTGGGTAGGAAATTTGTTTCCGCCAACTACATCCGCCGTGGCTTCGCAGAAGGCACTGCCTGAAAAGTTACGTCACGTGCCGGAAAAAAGTCACATATTTAAACTGACTTCGCCGGTACCGCTACAAGCTCCCAATCGATTGAAGAACAAGCAAAAAGATACAGCTGTGAAACTGCAAAATATCTTCAATGGATATGAAGCTTATAACGAAGTCATACGTCAAGTCAGTTCTTCCATTCAAAAAAATTATGAATTAATGATGAAAAATTTTACATTACAAAAGCATAAACAAGCAAAAACTTCGCATATATCCTAAGCTGGAGAAAAACTGACTTACCTCGGATCAACTGACTATGTGATTCTACCGTTTTCACTTCACCGCTGCCAGCTGCAACAAGAGTTTGAATAAGGCTCGGATTTTTAAGCAGTTCGTCATCAATCGAGATCACCGATTCTCCTTGCTTCACGACAGTGGATTTCCACATCTGTTTCTTGACAACTTTGGTTGTTTTTACTAGCTTACCGTCGACCACCTCTTCAGAAATCTGATGATTCGATGACCCATCGTGTTCATTTGCTGAATAAGTAGAAGCACAAGAAGATGCCTCTAAGGGGAAGAAG